CCTCGATGACGCACTGACTTCTTTGAGCTATCCTAATCAACCAGGCTGTTACTGCTGGCCGTATGCAAACTGACATACAAACCACAGCTCGGCTGGTCAGGCACTGACTTTATGTGGCTGCTCAGCACCTTCTTGAAGACAGCTAGGGGTCTATTGGAACTAGGTACCAGGGGAAAGGAGAACAACTTTGTAGTACCTACAGTCAGTGATCAGGCTTCAAACACATTTTATTGTACAGCAGTAAAGGAGTGGAGCAGACTACCTGCATATGTCACAGCCTATCATAGCATTAGGTACCAAGAGGTACCTAATGAATGTAGCTACAGAAAGACAAAAGTGATTTCTTGTTTATCGAACATATATGTACTGTAAACTGATCCTGTCTTCAATATTAATGTACATAACTGAATTTACTTTATCCCTAGTATATCTACTTTTATTGCAACTACTTTTCACTTAGTTAAAATTACTTACCTATGTGGTCTTAGGTAGGGAACTCTGTTGCTAAGTGAGGAGAGGCAGTACGTATATACATGTATTATATTTATAATAGTCTCTTGTGGTGTATTAGTCTTTTCTGTTTTCTCTGAAAGTAACGCTGTGCCCATTTTTCTACAGTGAACAGAGGCATCTGTACAGTTTAAGGCATCCTGGCCTGCTTGGCTTCAAGATGAAGCTTTGTAGTTTAACTTGAGTTTTCGAGTAAAAAAATTAAAGGATGGTTGTTTCAAATGAGGTAATTTTCCATGGAGCAGGAAAGTGTTGTTATCTTTACATGTATCTGATTCATTTTCAGGAAACTTCTGGGTTTTATGATCCATTTGAAGGATCTTCTATTGAGTATTAGTGTTGTTTGCCACTATGTCAAGTTCGAACCTTTAGTTCTTCGTATATTCTAACATTAACATTGCAATAGCCAAGGAGTCGAACATATGCTGCTTTGGCCTGCCTCATGGTGAGCAAAAATGCATGACACCTTAAACCACTAGACCACACAATCCTTAACAATGGCACATCCAGCCAAGCTAGATGTTGTACCCACCATCGAAGGACACACAATCCTCATTTCGTGGGTACAATAATATAATATACTGCTTGTTGAGCTAGTACACAAACAGGGAGTAGTGGACCCTCAACTAAAGGCTGCATCGGCTAACGTCAAAATCGGCTAATGGCTCTCTTTGGCATCAAAAATATTGGCTCGGCCAATGCCAAAAAACTCGGCTAAGGGCTTTCGTCCTGAACATGTCCACGCAGCCTGAGCGGGCCCGGCCACTCCAAGACTCTGTGTATAGCCAGTGTTTCATTGTTTACAAGCCATTGCAGTCGATTCCACGCTTACATGCGATATATTTTGTATTATTCCATTGTTTTAGTGCTCATAACTGCTAAATAAGCCACCATGGGCCCCAAAAAAGCTTTTAGTGCCAATCCTTTGGTAAAGAATGTGAGAAACATGATAGAATTCAAGAAAAAGTTTGTAGAAAAATACGTGGTGGTGGTAGAGGGTGGTAGTGGATGTGATGGTGGTAGAGGGTGGTAGTGATGATGGTAGTGGTTGTGATGGTGGTAGAGGGTGGTAGTGGTTGTGATGGCAGTAGAGGGTGGTAGTAATGGTGGTAGTGATGGTGGTAGTGATGGTGGTAGAGGGTGGTAGTGGATGTGATGGTGGTAGAGGGTGGTAGTGGTAGTGATGGTGGTAGAGGGTGGTCCAGTGACTCTCAAGCTGGTTATAGTGGCATTACAAAACAAAGAAGGGAGGTAACCCCAGAAAAGGACTCGGTACCTGAAGTATTTATGGAAGGGGATTCCCCTTCCAAACATTAGTACACCTCCATCAAATCCCCTCCTCCTGTCTCATCACTCATCAACAAGTCCACAATAAAGGTAAGTGTCATTTCAGTATTGTTTATTGTGCATGTATCATTATTTTCTGTGTAGGAAAATGTATATATCATGTAAAAAAAATTATTTTGTTTAATACTTTTGGGTTTCTGGAACGGATTAATTGGATTTCCATTTTTTCTTATGGGGAAAATTAATTCGGCTAAAGGCTAGCTCTCTGGAACGTATTAAAGGCATTAGCCGAGGGTCCACTGTATGTCCTTCGATGGCAGGTACAACATCTAGCTTCACTGGATGCGCCATTGTTAAGGATTGTGTGGTTTAGTGGTCTAAGGCATCATGCGTTTTCACTCACCGTGAGGCGGGTCAAAGCAGCATGGGTTCGACTCCTTGGCTAGTGCACTGCTGTTATTGATCAATATCACTCGTTTCATGGGTACAATAATATATTCTAACATGTATATAACAGAACTTTTTGATAATAAACTTTATTTTTTGCTTACACTCTTATTAATTTTTAATAGATTATATACTCAAAAAAATTATCTTTTTATTCTAACCAAGCAGTGCATCATGATGTGTTTGTTTAAATCATAAAACTACCCAATGTACAATGTATTTAAAATATATAAAGTTATTGTTAAACAGTGTTATTTCCAACCTGCAATACTGTTGCAAAAATCTATAATAACATAGCCATCCTTAGCGTTTACAATTTAAAAATACTGTATATTGTTATAAAGTTTTATAATTCTACATCAATGGAAGGTTTACCTTGATGATTAATACACATGTAACAGTGCCTCTGTATTTGACTAAAGAAGCCTACTGTCTAGGTGAAAGGTTTCAAAAATAAAGATACCCAACTGTTGTACATGTGTCTTAATCATCACCTTGTCAGCATTTTATACCATTTTCAACATATTTACTTTCATGGCAACGATGGACTTTCAATTCCAGGAATCAGAGCAACTCTCTCCTCTGTGAGATAAAATCGAATTACCTCCCATTTCCCAGGAGTTGAGTAATCCCCCCAACGTTTCCCTAGTACATAATTTGTATCTCCCCATACTCAAGGTATCATTCAAATACAATCCTGAATAACGTTCAACAAATTATCAAAAATTTTATTGCAGAAACTTTCTGCTATTTCTGTACTAAGATGTCTGGTGCTGTAATCCAGAAGATATAAGAAGCGGCCTCGGAAGGTGTGAAAAACATGAGTGCAGGCAAGCACAGTGTTTGATATGGATCTTATAACACGGGTCACCCTAATGTGGTCTGTTCCTTCAGTGACGAGGGCGGTCACATCACCCATGTTGGTAGTATTGTAATCAGGTAGAACAAGTCCTGAAGGGGAATCTGCAATAGCTTCGAAAGTATCCATTGAGTCTGACTTTAACAAATCAAATGCTTCCTCTTCCAGTGCAGAGCCAGATTTTAACTTGCTCTGAAGCTCCTGGTGAACTGAGCGAGCAAAATCCCAAAATATTTCATTTATATTTCTAGGAGTGTGTGTGTTCATGAATATAACTGATACATGACATCCAAGAGACTTGGAAACATCACCCTTCCAGTAGCGTCGCATATTGACGGAATGATAATTATAAATGTTGTAAGTGTCCTGGACAGCATCTTTCTCAGCCATGAGTTCAACTAGAGCTGCATCAGCAAGAGCAGTGAAGGCAGAATGAACTGTAACTCTCTCAGCACGACATTTATTTAAAAATTTCCTGGTAGTGGTTGTATCTAATTGTCGCTCTAAGATGAGAGATTTCACCTCTATTCCTTCTGGTATTTGATATATTCTGCTAAAGAATAATTCCTTGTCTTTCCTTAAGTTAGCTTCATCAGTCAATTTCTTCATTAATAATGGGTCAGCTTCAATAAGAGCTTTTTTGGCCAGCACCAGCTCCATGGTTTCCTCACGTGATACAAACTCCCCAAGCTGATCATCATTAATGGGCTTTCCAGTAATAACATCATTCAGCAGTGTAACAGTAAAGCCACAGATCTTCATGGCTGAAAAACCATCAACAATACTATGATGAAACCCCAGGAACAGATGATAGGAATGTGGGAAGGATACCAAGTTGTCATCAGGTATGTGTGGGGAGGCCTGGCCTGAATGACCACTGCTTATATTATCCACCATTGAAGTGGTCTGCTCACACTGACCGCTGCTTGTATCAGCCACCAGCCTTGTACACCAAAGAGGACCAGTATCTGAATTGTATTGATATGATTTAAGGCAGGCCATTACTTCATTCACCTCTGTCTCGGGAAGCACCTGTGAGAAATATAAATTAAGATTATAACATTTAATTTGTGTCCTATGTATGCTAAATAAATTAAAAAAACAGTGCAGGCAGGTCAGCACTTAAAAGGTTTATCAGATTGAGTAATTTCTTTGGTTCACAGGAACTGGTACTACAGCAGGTCCTTGAATAATGTCATCTTGTTATAACGCTGATGAGAAAAAAATCGAATGAATACAATAGATACAACTTATTGTAATATAGAAATTCGTAACGTATATGATAATCACATAAATGTAGTACAATAAACGATGCGGTATGAAAGCGCTCAGTGAGCCTGCCCTATTTGTTATTGATTTTATAATAATCTTTATTTCTACAAGTACAAGTACATGTACAAGGTATACAGATGTAGCTGCCAATAATGACATACTACTACAGGTCCCCATCCCTTCATCCAAAACCCTTGGGGGCAGCAGTGTTTCGAATTTCAGAATTTTTCGAATTTCTGAATGAAGGTGGGGTTTAGAGCAGCACCCCATTATCAAACATTAACACTGCAGCAAAAAATGTATGAATACTCACATTAGGTGGGATAAAAAAAAAGTCACTGAGAGGTCACATCCCTCTCAGATCCAACATTTCTCACTGGAAACAGTTGTCCAAGCTGTTTTCTGTACCAAGATGCCATTGTGTTGCAGTGTCTGACAGAGATTTTTAGATTTTGCCACCGAAGTGGCTAGTTTATTGTGCACCCCATATCCATCCTGTGGATGGTAGTGCGAGAGCATATGAATACACAAAAGGCCTAGGAACTAGGCCCCAAAGGGTTAACAGGAATACATATGGATTTATATCTACATATCTATAGTTCACTTATCTGTTACAAGCAAATTTAGGAAATTTGCTTAGTATATCTGGTATCTTATTTTCATTAATAAGATATCTTGACATGTCACATAGGTTATTATACTGTCTGTCTCTGTATTCCTCAATGAGTGGACAATTAAGCACATAGTGTTCAAGAGAGTGACCAAATGCCTGATCACATAATTTACATTTAGTTTGATCATCATCTGTGTGTCTCCCAAACTGCCAGAAGTACTTGTAATCAAGCCTAAGCCTGGCCACTACAACATCAGTCAGTCTGTTCACATTGCAAGTTGCTCCATAAACATACTTATCTACGTTCATGTTATCATAGTGGGTTATAGATCTACTCAGGCTTCTAACTGCATTCCTATAACAATCATTTTCATTATTTACTTCTCTCCTAATATTATTCCTAATGCTAGACACAGTTATACCAAAGTTATATTCTACATTCTCCTTCTGGGTACTCTTCTTGGCTAACATATCAACTTTATCATGAAGGAGTAATCCAATGTGTGATGGGATCCATAGCAATTGTACATTAATTCCTTTGTCCCTAATTTTTGAGTATCTATACCTGGCTTCTCCAATGAGGATGTTGTTGGAGTCATTATATGAGTCAAGAGCCTTCAATGATGACATAGAATCAGTAATGATGACAGAGTCAAGCTCAGTGTCATAGGTTAGCTTTAGCGCCATTAGGATTGCAAACAATTCAGTTTGCAGTGTAGACGTCCAGTTGTTAATTCTTATGCCTAACTCAACAAATTTATTATCGTTCTTAACTAGGGAGGTGGCAACAAGAGCAGATGCAGCCCTGCCAGAAGACTCCTGTTTAGATCCATCAGTGTATATAACTTGTGATAACTTATTACTACCAGCTAGGTGAGAAATTTCTTCTTGAGCAGTTGCTCTAACAAGAGATTTAAGGAAGGGATTACTAGCAATGAGCTTCTTGGGAGGGACTTGTAGGTATGTGATATTAAATGAACACATCTTCCATGGAGGGGTGAAATGCTCTTGTTGCCTACAGTGATACAGTTCATGCAGGTTATAAAACTTAATGCAATTGCACGTTTTCACACTCCATTTAGATCTGTGTGTATTTACCTCTAGACACTTGGTAAGATTCACTGTGACAGTGTCTGGTTCGTTTCTCAACATTCTAATACCGAGTACAGTGTTAATTTCAACAATCCTATCACTGATACTAGAAATACCAAGCTCCTTCCTCATGTTAAGAACTTTTGTAGATCTGGGACAGCCAAGAATAATCCTGAGAGCTTCATTTTGCATTAACTCCAATGGTCGGAGAGAACTTTCTCTAGCTAATATCAACATGGGAGCAGCATAATCAATTAAGGACCTAACATAGGCTATGTACATCATTCTCACGATTCTCACATTAGCACCATAGTTGGGATTGTAGCCAGCAACAGCTTTGAGAGCATTTAGCCTAGCTTTACATTTCTTGTTTAGTTGTGGTATAGTGGATTTGTTAAAGGGTACATCTACACCAAGATATCTGTAAGTTTTAACGTAGCTAATGATTTCACCCTGCAAATAGATGGGTGGGGGATGTCGTTTGCTTGTTAATATCTTTGTTTTAGAGGAAGATATTATGAGGCCTAGTCGATTACAAATTGCTTGAACTTCATTAAGAATGATATTTATCTTCTTATGCCCTGTTGTATGGATCATGATATCATCAGCATAGCTTATAGCTATATGTTTAGGTGAGGCAGGTAGAGCATTTAGGAGAGCATTAATCAGAATATTAAATAGCATGGGACTAAGAACTCCTCCCTGCGGTATACCTAAAGACATTTCTTTAGAATCACTTCTGAAGCCTTGGTAAAGGACAGAGGATACTCTATTTGACAGGTATCCTATTATCCAGCAGAGTAAGCTACCACCAATATTCATTTTGGCTAGTTCATGTAGTATAACGGTTCTGTTCGCAATATCAAATGCAGATTTTAGATCAAGAAAAGTGGTAAAACTAGTAGAGGTGTGTGCAGTGAGAAAGGTGGAAATACAGTTCTGCACACTTTTACCTTTCATGAACCCATAGAGGTAGGGGGAAAGTTGATGTCTGATTCTGTAGTACAGTCTGTTAAGCATCATTCTTTCAAAAGTTTTACAAAGACAACTAGTTAAGGAGATCGGCCTAAATGCACAGTCTGACAGAGTAAATATCAAAATGGTATACAATACCGTCATTTTGATAGGTAAGACACATAGGCAACAGTTAGGCAACTTTATTCCGAAACGTTTTGCCTACTGTGTAGGCGAAACGTTTCGGAATAATGTTGGATAACTGCTGCCTATGTGTCTTACCTACCAAACTGTCAGTATTGTATACCTACCAACCACAGGCAGGATAAATGATTCAAACGTAGATGTCACGGAACTTCAGGAGGATTTAGACAAACTCAATTCCTGGTCGGAAAAGCTTAATGCTTGGGCAGCATTGAAAATTGGGTTGGGCAAATATTCTGTTAGTGGGATGGATTGTGAAGGACCTGCCTAGTATGGGCCAACAGGCCTGCTGCAGTGTTCCTCCTTTCTTTATAAATTCCCATTTTCCATTTATACACCTCCATGAAAAACTTCGGTTTTCGGAACTTTTCGAATTTCAGAATTTCGGATTAAGGGATATGGACCTGTATATAGAAAGCCCTTGTTATGCAGAGCATTTTGGGCAAATAAGGTCAGTTTTGTCCTCCGGATGCAACCCACACCAGTCAACTAAGCCACAGGTACCTATTTTACAGACAGATGAACAGGAACAGCAGGTGCCTTATGGAAACGCATCCTAATGTTTCCACCTGTACTGGGAACCAACCCGAGGACCTCAGTGTATGAGCTGAGTGTGCTAGCATCAAGCTATGGGACACCTCTAGGGAGGTTCACTGATGCAGGTGAGGGGCTCTTGATCTATGAAATTGGATCTGTGCTCCAGTTCCCTGAAATGAGCCTGAATGTCTTCCATTCCTTCCCCACAAGTGTTGTATAATCCCAGTGGGTTTAGCGCTCCCCCATAATAATTTTGAACTGCGTGGTGGTAGGAGGTGCTCCTTACAATTTTCACTTTGCAAACATTTATTCGCTGATTTTACCCTGTTGAAATGAGTGCTAAAGGTGCAATCTGCACCCCTGATGTTTGTGGTCACAAACAGAAATTGAAAAAGCTGCACCCTGATGTCTGTGGTCACAAACAGAAACTGAAAAAGTGTGAAATTAGACACAAAACTAAAAGTTCTGAAGAGGTTTGAGGATGGGCAATGAGGTGTGGATATTGGAAGAGCTCTTGGTTCCGTTACACGTCATTTCACTTTACAGTCACATTTCCAAGAACTTATCAATGACATTAAGCAAAGACTTAATGTACTTACCTCTTTGATGAATCCCAGTAACCTCCCATTCTTCAGACACTGTTAAAACTCATACGTATTTAGGGCTTCCCCAACATTTCCCCATGAATATACAGTATTTCGCGGCTTATAAGACTTGTTCTAGTTTCAGTTGTTTGGCATCGGACGTAACTGGGAGAGCTACAATCCACCCCACACCCCAAACTTATAGCTCCCTTCACTGACCTTCAGTTTATGGGACACAGGGTGGTTTTTGGAGACATTTTATGGAAAAAAACATGTGTCTAATAAGCCGCAAAATACTCTAAATGTTATATACGATATAGAAAGTAGACTCATAATGACACATGCTAGTTCTTGAAAACTGGTGCCCCCGTGCCCAGGTGGCCTGATGGCTAAAGCTCTCACTTCACAAACGGAGGGCCCGGGTTCGATTCCCGGCTGGGTAGTAATATGTCGACATGTTTCCTTACACCTGTTGTCATGTTCATCTAGCAGCAAATAGGTACCTGGGTGTTAGTGGACTGGTGTGGGTCACATCCTGGGGGACAAGATTGAGGCGCACAATGGAAATAAGTTAGACAGTCCTCGATGACTCACTGACTTTCTTGGGTTATCCTGGGTAGCTAACCCTCTGGGGTTAAAAATCCGAAGAAAATCTTATCTTACATGTACAACAGTTTTATGAATTGAAGAGCACAGGGAAAAATAGGGTTATGTTCCTGTTACCTCTTAAGTTTTATTGGTTGCTTCAAGGAACCACAGTGCTCCTTCACACTTACCTTAAAGTCAACATTATTATTGGTTGCTTCACGGAACCATAAAGTTCCTTCACGCTCGCCAAAACACACACGCAGGCATGGAACTTTCCTGTAACAATATGTAATATTGTAATACTGAATCAATAATACATACTTTACAATACAGTGTTACATAGTCATGTCAATACATGCTACCATAGATATAAAATAAATTCTTGATTGCTATACAGATTTAGAAGTGTTAAAGGTGTAGGGGTCATGGTGCCTGGGGGAATACCGGGAATATACCTGTAGAGAATTTCAGGGGACAGCACCCCCGTGACCCAGTTTGAGACCAGGCCTCACAGTGGATTAGGGCCTGATCAACCAGGCTGTTACTGCTGGCAGCACGTAAACTGACATACGAACCACAGTCCGGCTGGTCAACTTTAGATGCCTGTTCAGTGTCTTCTTGAAGATAGCCAGGAGTCTATTGGTAATCCCCCCTATGTATGTTGGGAGGCAGTTGTACAGTCTAGGGCCGATGATACTTATTGTGTTGTCTCTTAGCGTACTCGTGGCACCCCTTCTTTTCATTGTTGCAGCAACTGCCAAGTCTTTTGCTTTCATAGGGGTGATTTTCATGTGCAAATTTTGTACTAATCCCTCTAGGATTTCAAGGTGTATATTATCATGTATCTCACCTGTGTTCCAGAGAGTACAAGTCAAGGAATTTTAACCTTTCCCAGTAATTTGGGTGTTTTATCGTATTTCTGTATGCCATGAAGGTTCTCTGGTGGCCTGGTGGCTAAAGCTCTCGCTTCACACTGCGAGGGTCTGAGTTTGATTCCCAGCCAGGGTAGAAGCATTGGGCGTGTTTCTTTATGCCTTTTGTCTATGTTCATCAGTAAAATGGGTACCTGGGTGTTAGTCGACTGGTGTGGGTTGTATCCTGGGAAACTGACCTAATTTACTCGAAATGCTCAGCATAACAAGTGGCTTTCTGTATTGTATGTCACTGATGTCAGCTAGGCCTGTATACCATATACATGTACTTGTAGTAAATACAGATATTATATTATTATTGTATTCTCCAGGTAGCAGTTTCACCTGCCTTGAAAAGTGTTGTTAGTGTACAGCAATATTCCAGCCTAAACAAAACAAGCGATTTGAAAAGAATCATCATGGGCTTGGCATCCCTGGTTGTGAAGGTTCTCATTATCTATCCTATAACATTTCTAGCAGATGTAATAGATACATTATTGTGGTCTTTGAAAGCGACATCCTTTGACATTATCACTCCCAGGTCCTTCACATTAGATTTTTACTCTATTGTGTGGTTGGAATTTGTTTTAGACTCCAATAAAGTTTTAATTTCCTCAAATTTTCCATATCAGAGTAATTGAAATTTCTCTTCATTGAATTAAATGTTTTCTGTGGCCCATTTAAAGATTTGGTTGATGTCCGCCTGGAGATTTGCAGTGTCTTCGATGGATGACATTGTAATGCAAATTCGGGTGTCATCCGCAAAAGGAAGACATGGTGCTGTGGCTTACACTTTGTCAGATATGAGGATGAGGAAGAGGATGGGAGGAAGGAACAGGGTGGGGCCTTGTGGAACAGCTTTTCATTGTGGCTGCCTCAGACTTTACTCTGTTTACTATTACTCTTTGTGTTCTGTTTGTTAGGAAGTTATAGCTCCATCTACCAACTTTCTCCGTTATTCCTCTTTCATGCATTTTATGCTCTATTACACCATGGTCACGCTTGTTAAAGGCTTTCACAAAGTCTCTGTATAGTACATCTGCATTTTGTTTGTCCTCTAAAACATCCAAGACCTCATGATGATCCAGTAGTTGGGACAGGCAGGAGCGACCTGCTCTAAACCCGTGTTGCACTGGGTTGTGTAACTGATTGGTATCTAGATGGGTGGCGATCTTGCTTCTTAGAAGCCTGTCAGAGATATTTATATGGAACGTTAGCGCTCTTGGTCTGTAATTGTTTGCTATTGCTTTACTGCCACGTTTGTGGAGTGGGGCTATGTCTGTTGTTTTAAGTTGATGTGGGATGACCACTGTGTCCATACTCCCCTCTTCATAGAATGCTAAAGGCACGTGACAGGGGATTCTTGCATTTCTTGATGAACACAGAGTTCCACGAGTCTGGACCTGGGGCAGAGTGCATGGACTTTGTGTAATAACTGGGACTGTGAACATTGTGTAATAACTGTGATCATAAACATTGTTTAGTGATGAACGTGTGGTGGCGGTGACCCCAAAAAGAAGTAAACTCAATAACCATGATTCATTTAGTCGCTGTTTTACCACAAGTGTTGACATCACAATTCAGGTGACTCTTCTGACTGCAGCATCTTCACCCCTCCTTTCAGAGTGCCAGGACTCGGGTCTGGCCAATTGGTTTTTCCATGAATTCCTTTATAAGTGTTACCTTGCCCACACTAAGAGCAAGTCAGTCCATGAAAAATACTTCACTCACATAATCACACAAGCCTTCTGGATGCTCCCTCCTCCTCCCCCCAAACTTTACTGGGAACACCCCTACGTCTCTTTAGGTTAGGTTAGGTAAGGTTCGTCAGGAAACAGGACAAGTGTTTCCTGACGCGGGTCTTAGTCAGGTGATGACCCGCCTTCGGAGCTTTGGTCATCTGACCGAGGCCTTCCGCTGGCTTACCGGTCCACCTCTTGAAAAGTAATATAATTATATATATATAATTCGTACCTACTTCTCTTTCCTTGCACCCCAGTTTTAAATACCCTCTTAGTCATCCCCAGTTCTGTTCCATCATCTATAAATACTTAAATTACCTCAATAACCCTCCCCTTAGCCTTCTGAATTATGACTCTGATAACACACGTTATCATCTAATCTCCACACCACAGTATCTTCCTCACTAATTGGTTTTTAAAAAATCCCACCTTCGTTACAATAATAATAATAATAAAATCCTTGTATCAAGGTTACAATGTTATCCTGGGTCATGGGTACACACCTAGAATATATCTCCCAGTAAATACGCTTAAAGGTTTGCTTAAATCCTTATATTAGAGTCAAATATGGTCGCTTAGTGGAGTGCAGCAGCTTGCATACTTGACCCTGAGGTAATCAATAGACTGTTGAGTAATATATGTAGATACCGTTATTATTATACACATATCTGATGTGTTTAACGAAATAAGTAACAGAGTTATGTGATGCTATTCTCACTGGACATAACAATAACATGATCAGTATTTAGTCTCTAAAGTGGTAAACACTCGATGCATTTTGAACAATAACACACATTGGTCAGATAATATCTCACTAACTCAGATTTTTTTTTTTTAATATTTGTTACACAATTTTGACCCCACATAGCAAACAAGTACTTTGTTAAGTAAGCTTTTATTCAGGTACACACAAATACAGTTACATAAATTATCATACAACAGCATATGTATAGATTACCCAAGATAACCCAAAAAAGGTCAGACAAAGTGACTTATTTCAATGCAAATTATCGATTAAACTTACCGGTAGAGGTGTTTAAGAGCCAGTCTAACCTGGTCCTCCTGGAGAGGTACTCTTGTACTGAGGCTGACGTGGTAAGCGATTAATAAGATCCCTCTCTTATGACATTCCTCGAATATCTTCTCCACCTTCGACGCCTCCCTCAGCCATTTACCATCAAAGTCTGACATCTTCTGACCTACCAACGTACAGGAAATTAGGTTGGAATATAATCCTAATTTTTAAAGGGGCGGACCGATGAGCCAGTGAAAGGCCTCGGTCAGATTGAGCAAAGCTCCAGCGGAGGGTCATCATATAACTAAGACCAGCGTCAAGACACACTTTTCCTGTTTTCTGACAAACCTTACCAAACCTAAATTAGGTTGGCATTCAACAGGTTATATGATCAAATATATTTTTCTTGGCCATGGATGCGCATGTCTGTACTCACTGTATTTAAATTATGAAATTAAGGGCCGCCTTGTGGGTTTAGTGCTTAGTTTTGATTATAATAATATACAGGCAGGGAGGAAATAAAGAGAATAAGGATTATCAATGCATGATGAAAGCGCTGCTTGACTTGTGGGTTTAGCGCTTTATTTGATAACACATAATTAATCAGACAATGTGCAACTGAACGATGACACAAGAAGGAGCTGTCAGACACTACATAGTTTAACATCTTCATTATGCACCCCATACCCATGTTATGGGCGGTCACTGTACATGCTGTCTTTGATGACTGTCGGTTCTAGCAGAGAACTACATTATAAACTACTAGCTAAGAGAAACTACTGCATTATAAACCACTAGCCAGGAGAAACTACTACATTATAAACTACTAGCTAAGAGAAACTACTGCATTATAAACCACTAGCCAGGAGAAACTACTACATTATAAACTACTAGCTAAGAGAAACTACTGCATTATAAACCACTAGCCAGGAGAAACTACATTATAAATCACTAGCCATGAGAAACATTATAAACCACTAGCCAGGAGAAACTACTGCATTATAAACTACTAGCTAAGAGAAACTACTGCATTATAAACCACTAGCTAGGAGAAACTACTGCATTATAAACCACTAGCCAGGAGAAACTACTGCATTATAAACCACTAGCCAGGAGAAACTACTGCATTATAAACTACTAGCTAGGAGAAACTACTGCATTATAAACCACTAGCCAGGAGAAACTACTGCATTATAAACCACTAGCTAGGAGAAACTACTGCATTATAAACCACTAGCCAGGAGAAACTTACTGCATTATAAACTACTTAGCCAGGAGAAACTACTGCATTATAAACCACTAGCCAGGAGAAACTACTGCATTATAAACTACTAGCCAGGAGAAACTACTGCATTATAAACCACTAGCCAGGAGAAACTACTGCATTATAAACCACTAGCTAGGAGAAACTACTGCATTATAAACCACTAGCCAGGAGAAACTACTGCATTATAAACTACTAGCCAGGAGAAACTACTGCATTATAAACCACTAGCCAGGAGAAACTACTGCATTATAAACTACTAGCCAGGAGAAACTACTGCATTATAAACCACTAGCCAGGAGAAACTACTACATTATAAACTACTAGCTAAGAGAAACTACTGCATTATAAACCACTAGCCAGGAGAAACTACTACATTATAAACTACTAGCTAAGAGAAACTACTGCATTATAAACACTAGCCAGGGAGAAAACTACATTATAAATCACTAGCCATGAGAAACATTATAAACCACTAGCCAGGAGAAACTACTGCATTATAAACTACTAGCTAAGAGAAACTACTGCATTATAAACCACTAGCTAGGAGAAACTACTGCATTATAAACCACTAGCCAGGAGAAACTACTGCATTATAAACCACTAGCCAGGAGAAACTACTGCATTATAAACTACTAGCTAGGAGAAAACTACTGCATTATAAACCATAGCCAGGAGAAAACTATGCATTATAAACCACTAGCTAGGAGAAACTACTGCATTATAAACCACTAGCCAGGAGAAACTACTGCATTATAAACTACTAGCCAGGAGAAACTACTGCATTATAAACCACTAGCCAGGATAAACTATTGCATTATAAACTACTAGCCAGGAGAAACTACTGCATTATAAACCACTAGCCAGGAGAAACTACTGCATTATAAACACTAGCTAGGAGAAACTACTGCATTATAAACACTAGCCAGGAGAAACTACTGCATTATAAACTACTAGCCAGGAGAAACTACTGCATTATAAACCACTAGCCAGGAGAAACTACTGCATTATAAACTACTAGCCAGGAGAAACTACTGCATTATAAACCACTAGCTAGGAGAAACTACTGCATTATAAACCACTAGCCAGGAGAAACTACTGCATTATAAACTACTAGCCAGGAGAAACTACTGCATTATAAACCACTAGCCAGGAGAAACTACTCAAGATGGCAAGGGTTACACCAATACATAAAGGTGGTGACCCTACAGACTTAAACAACTATAGGCCAATATCTAACTTACCACTGCTATCCAAAATCTTTGAGAAACTCGTGCACAGGAGACTGTATTCATTTATAACGGCTCAAAACATACTCAACCCCTGCCAGTTTGGATTCAGGAAAAACAAAAGCACTAATGATGCAATCATAAAAATGCTAGATCTGCTTTACACAGCATTGGAAAATAAGGAATATCCACTAGGAATTTTTATTGACCTAAGCAAAGCTTTTGACACAGTAAACCACGAAATCCTACTCCACAAACTTGACCACTACGGTATAAGAGGCCATGCGCTTGCTTATTTCAAATCTTACATTACTAATAGGTATCAGTACGTCACCATTAAAGACACAGCATCAGCAACACGGCCACTTGATACTGGAGTTCCGCAGGGAAGTGTCCTTGGTCCCCTGCTCTTCCTCATATACATCAATGACCTTCCAAACGTATCCCAACATCTGAAACCCATTCTCTTTGCTGATGACACGACTTATGTCATCTCTCACCCTAATCTTGCCACCCTCAACACCATTGTGAATGAGGAGCTGATTAAAATATCGACTTGGATGTCAGCCAATAAACTTACGCTTAACACTGACAAAACTTACTATATTATGTTTGGTAGCAGAGCAGGAGATGCACAAATTAACATTAAGATTGACAACACTCTAATTAACAGAAATAATGGGGGAAAATTCTAGGCTTATACCTTGACAACAACCTGAATTTCAGCACCCATATCCAGCATATAGCCAAAAAAGTATCCAAAACGGTTGGGATCCTCTCCAAGATACGATACTACGTGCCGCAAAATGCCCTTCTCACACTATACCACTCATTTATCCATACCTCACCTATGCTATTTGTGCTTGGGGATCAACTGCAGCAACACACCTAAAGCCAATAATAACCCAACAAAAAGCTGCAGTAAGAATAATCACTAAATCCCATCCCTGGCAGCACACTCCCCCCACTCTTCAAAGATCTAAACTTACTCCCAGTTCAGTACATCCACACTTACTACTGTGCAATCTATATCTACAGGGCCTTAAACTCTAATATCAACCTTGACCTAAAACGCTTTCTTGATAGTTGTGACAGAACCCACAGGCATAACACCAGAAACAAACATCTCTACGACATTCCCCGTGTCCGACTAAACCTCTACAAAAATTCAATGTATGTCAAAGGCCCTAAAATCTGGAATACCCTACCTGAGAACTCTAGAACTGCAGACACATTCATCACCTTCAAAACTACCATTAGAAAACATCTTATCTCCCTGATACACCCCGTCAACTAACTACACGAATACCACCTGGTGGTTCACACTTACACTCGCTCACTCATTTGACCATAAACAGAAATATTAATCTCAGTCTTAAAATAATGAATCCTGTGATACTCCAATACTGAAACTATATACTGTGCCAAAACAAAAGCATTCACATTGCTAAACACACAAACTAGTATTTAGTCACCTAGCCATAATACCAACTTACCTCATAATTTGTAATATTTTGTAATATTTTACAATTAAGAATAAAACTAAGTATGCCCGAAATGCCTAGCCATGCTAAGCGTTCTAGTGGTACACTCTGTAATCACAATTTTACTACATGTAAACCAAACAATAACCAAATTTCTGTAAACTCAGCATTGTAATCCTTATAGAGAATAAACTTTGAATTGAATTATAAACTACTAGCTAAGAGAAACTACTGCATTATAAACCACTAGCTAGGAGAAACTACTACATTATAAACTACTAGCTAAGAGAAACTACTGCATTATAAACCACTAGCCAGGAGAAACTAAATTATAAATCACTAGCTAGGAGAAACCACCACGTTATAAACCACTAGCCAGGAGAAACATTATAAATCACTAGCCATGAGAAACATTATAAATCACTAGCCAGGAGAAACCACATTATAAATCACTAGCCATGAGAAACATAAACCACTAGCCAGGAGAAACATTATAAACCACTAGCCAGGAGAAACTACATTATAAATCACTAGCCATGAGAAACATTATAAACCACTAGCCAGGAGAAACATTATAAACCACTAGCTAGGAGAAACTACTACATTATAAACCACTAGCCAGGAGAAACTACTACATTATAAACCATAGCCAAGAGAAACCACATTATAAACCACTAGCCAAGAGAAACTACTACATTATAAACCATAGCCAAGAGAAACCACATTATAAACCACTAGCCAGGAGAAACTACTACATTATAAACCACTAGCCAGGAGAAACTACTACATTATAAACCACTAGCCATGAGAAACATTATAAACCACTAGCCAGGAGAAACCACACTATGACTCGGTTCAAGCAGAGAACTACATTATAAACCACTAGCCAAGAGAAACTACTGTATTATAAACAATAGCCAAGAGAAACCACATTATAAACCACTAGCCAGGAAAAACTACTACATTATAAACTACTAGCAGGAGAAACCACTAGCCAAGAGAAACTACATTATAAACCACTAGCCAGGAGAAACCACCACATTATAAACCACTAACCAGGAGAAACCGCCACATTATAAACCACTAGCCAGTCAAAACCACCACATTATAAACCACTAACCAGGAGAAACCACCACATTATAAACCACTAGCAAGGAGAAACCACCATATAAACCACTAGCAAGGCAAAAACTACCACATTATGAAC